GAATGATACTTCAGACAATAATGTAACATGTAGCATGTACAAGTAAGTCCTCATTCAAAAACATGTAAAGCAATCAGAAGAGCCCATGCTCCACATGAAGAACTAAAGTATGGAAGAAAATTAATGAGGAAAGTAATAAATAAAATAGCCCAGGACAGAATAAGCCCAGGACATTTAATATATAAGCAACAGTCAAATAAATTACAAAATGTCATAAGAAGATACACATGTAATACTAAATTTATTAAAAATTATAAAAACTGACCACCTCCTTAAAAAATTGCATAGTCTGGAAATATGATAACCTATTCTTAGTTGCTCAAGATTCTAGGGGAAAAAAATCTCATCTTTATCTAAAAGTCCATGATTTTACATGTTATGACTCAATTTTTACTTGTTATTTCTATACAGAAGAATGTTAAACAGTTTATTCTTATCAAAGTCTTTCTGGCACTTGTTTTTACTGTCTTTCTGGCTCCACTGCAGACTTTTGGTTCTTTCTAAAACAATGGTGAATAGAAATATCTAACATTTCCTAAATACTAAAATATCTTTTTTTGTTTCAAATATCATGCCTAATAATGTTTATTTCTTTATGTATTTTTTGACTACAGAAGCCATTACCATTTCTGAGATTTAGCATTCTAAGCCTTCTAACAATATATAATCTTATTTAATCCTAAATACGAAGCTATCAAATATCTGGGTTGTCAGAAATGAGGACATAAAACCCATTGAGCTTACAGTTTCATGAATCAGAAATTCAAACCTATTTGGAATCACTCAAAATGTCCTGTTGTTAACTATCTACACACAAAAATGCAATGACTTCAAAATCCCTTTTTTAGATTCTAACTTTACCAGTCTTAGTAAGGTATTGAAAATCTAGTGACCATGGTTGCTTTGCTCTTTCTGAGATTATGCCTGAACCAGAATAGACTGAAAAATATTTTTGTTGCTATTGTTTACCTTGTTGTTTTGATATAAGAGCAATATTAGAATAAGATCACTAAGTTTCCTCTGGAGGATATCTGGGAATGTCTAGAGACATAGCTAGTTGTCACAACTTGAAGCAAGGCATGCTTACTGTAGCGGGTAAAGGCAAGGGTGCTGTCATACATACCACACTACACAGGACAGACTCCTTAAACAATGAATTCTATAACCGAAACTGTCTATTGCACTTTTGAGAAACACTGATTATAAAGTAAGATATATAAACTATACGGTAGAAAATAGTATTTAAGATGACAAAGTATGTAATCAAACAAAGAGGGCTATAAAAGTTTACTGAGCATGCTAGTCTCTGGTCTAAACATGGGAATGACTTTGACAAAACTTTGACTTGAAACTCCTCAAGTGTTTAATCTAGGCAAAAGAAGAGCAGTAAAGTGCTAAGAAATAGCAGTATATGAAAGCAATATTTGTTATTAAATGTACAGGGCTAATGGCCAGTGTAATTATATATAACACAGAATAGCAGTCTTTCAAGAGAGTTGTCTCTTTTAACCTTGTCTTCATCTGCCTCTCTGCTAAAGGTCTCTTTATTTTTACATTTTTCTTCCACTAAAATTTTTTCTTCAAATAACTCTTAGATGTTAAAAAGACAAGGAAAGGGTTTATTTAAAAATGGGTTTCTCTGATCATTTATGCTTATATTAAAATTTTTCTGAGTCATACAATTACAAAAATAATTTGGAATCATTCCAAATTGAAAAGTATGGTAATAATAGCTAATGTTTTATTCTTTTTGTGTGTGTGATCACACTCATGACCTTGCACTTGCCAAGCAGGTTCTTAAGCCACTGAGCTAAATTCCTGGCCAAATGTTTTATTCTTTATCACGATATCATCCTTTAAGAATTCACCTAATAATAACAAAATATAATTCTACTTTATTATAGAATTGAAGATTATTTTATTTATTATAGAATTAAAATTTTTTAAAAAGGAAATTTAAAGTCTTGAGCACTCTGCTAGAATCAGTTTCTAGGGAAATGCTTTTTGTAGTAATTACATAGTAAAATATCATTTATTATTTAAATAAAATTGGAAATTTAACACAGAAATGATATGTTAATATAGCTGATCAAAAATAAACTAAAATAATTAAATTTTATTTTAAAAATAATCATTATAGTAAAAGACACATTGATGACAATGAGGATATATAGATACATTCAAAGTGGGGAGGAGTACTTTAAGTACGTTGGGGAGAATAATGGCAATGTGTCTTTTGCTGTTATAATTCTTTTTATTTTGAAGTGAATAAAACCAAATGAAATAAAATAGAGTCCATCAAAACAAAATGATGAACATGGTACATGACTTTGAAACAAAATACAAGGAAATCAATAATGGCTACCATAATGCCTTTTGTTTTCTTCAGAAGAATTGCCCATATCATAAGGCATAATAAAATCAAACAAAATAGTACAGAATAAAACCAATAAAAACAAAATAATGGAAACATAGAACTTCAAAACAAGATAATAGTAAAAACAGGTATCATAACACACCTTGTTATCTTCAAAGTAGTTGATTATACCATCAGACAGGACACAGTCAAACAAAACAAACTATAATAAAATCAGTCAAAACAAAACAGTGAAAGCAATACAGGGCTTCAAAACTAGCTAATAGGAAATCAAAAATGGCTACTATTATATATTTTGTTCTCTTTGAAATAGCTGTCCATACCATCAAATTTAAAAAAAATTAGGCAAACCAAAACAGAATAATCCCAAACTGAACAGAAAAATGAAAACAATATCGGATTCAAATCACAATAATAGATTACTAATGGCCACTGCCTTCCCTTTTTAGTCACTTTCACTTTCACAGGATGCATTGTGCATTTTGTATCCCACTAACTCTTTAGTTTTTTATACCAGGGAGACAACACAATATTCACCTATGTGACTGAATCATTTCATCCATAAGCATGATCTCAAGTTGTATCCATTTACCTACAATAGCGTCAAGGTTATCATTCTTTATACCTGAGTAGCTTTCCATTGCATAAAAGTGCCATGACTTTCTTATCCAGTCTGCAGCTGATGGGTGAGCTACCTCCATTTCTTTCTGGCTCCTTATAACTTAAGAGCATTGTTCTTTCTCCTTTGACTTTCAGTCTATGAGCCCCCTTTCGGGTTAAGTATGTTTCTTGTATAAAGCATATTGATGGATCCTGTCTCTTGATGCACTCTGCCTGTGTTTCTTTTTATTGGTAAATTGAGGCCAACTATATTAGTGATTATGGCCAACATGCTCTGTCTGCCTCATCTCTGCCATGCTATTTTCCTGCCGTTGCTTGCCTATTTTTCCCCTTCATTCCATTATCTGTCCTGTTCGGTGATTCCCCTCTGCCGCTGTTCCTAGAACTATAATTATTTTTTTTTTACTTTTTTGTACAGTTCAATCACTCCTGTTGTTTTTCCTGATCAGCCAAAATTACTTCACTGTTTTCTACTTGCTTGAATTCTGCTATTTGTGTCTTTGTGTTCATCTCTCTTTTTCATAAATTAAACAATTGAATAACTGTAAATTGAATAATTTTTCAGGTCACCTTTGAGAGTACTACTCAGTCCTATTCCTCTTGTTTATAAGCTACTATTTTCCATCCCATCTTCTATTTTCCTCAACTAATAAGATTTTACCTTTTTTATAGGTCTAATCTTTTTCAACTGTCACTTGCCAGGATAACTTTCAAATTAAATGTGAAACAGCAGAACAGTGAGACTAGCAAGATATTCTTTGCTTCTCCAAGGGAAAAATGCTTTCCTGTTATGAATATTAAAAATTTGGGGCCAGGGATATAGCTCAGTGGCACAGCACCTGCCTGGCAAGCACAAGGTCCTGAGTTCAATTCCTGGTAGGAAAAAAAAGATCTTTGACTTATACTTCTTTATTCTAGGAAACTGAGTCTACTGCCTTCGTATAGGAGCCAGCAAGAATGCCAACCAGCTGAAATAACTCCTCACTACACTCTTATACTCAATAGACAATTGAGGCATAAAAAGAAAACAATAGAAGAAGTCTTATGATTTCTCATTGCCAAAATTCTACACAGATTCAAAAATACATAAGAAACCAAGGACAATTCAGTTAAATACCAACTACATTTGCTCAAAACTTGTTTAGGCAAATCAGTTTCTCTGAGTTTTGTTTTAATTGTTTGTTTTAATTAGTAAAATGAAGATACTGGCATTTACCTGAGAAGATCATGTATCAAATTAAATAATGTATATGAAAGATTTTAAAAATTGTTAAATTCAATAACATTAAGGTATTTCATGCAATAAAGAATTTATGTGATTATACTAGAATACCTATTTTCATTATGTGAATAGAAGAAAAATATAGACTCCTGCGTCCCACTCCAAATTTATTGTATCAGAATCTATAGAAATGAGACCCATCCATTTGTATTTTTAAGGACACTAAAATCTGACAAATACTATGTAATATTATACCATTCTCATTTTCAGTGCACTCCTTTTCACGTTAATGGATATTTAATAGTCACAATCATTAATTTTTCTAATCATCTCACAATAATTTGCTAAAAGATTTTTGAGACAAAACTCTTCAGTCAAATATTGAAGTAGTTCAGATTCTTAACTATTTTTATACATGTTTTTTAACTTAAAAAGAAGTATTTTTTAAAAACACATTGGATTACAGAACTAACCACGACTAATCATAAAAACAACTCAATTTCTGGGGAATTAGTATAATTTCTCACATTATATTTGCTCATGTCAAATTTTAACATACTCAACAGCAGCCTAGTTAAGATGCTCTCCTGGTTCTTCATCAATTATCCCAGTTAAAATTCACAGATGCTAAAATACATTCTTCAAAGTATACATAGATGAGATTTACCAGGTCTGAGTTTATCAAAATATAACTGATCTTGTTTTAAACTTTCATATTTACAATTAACTAGACCCTAAAGAATTGAAGGGCTAAAGAGAAAAGAGAAACTGCCTATTTACCTGAGACAGGATAAGAGGTATGCTAAATCTTGTGTAAAGTAGAAAACAAAACCGAGATCCAAGATCACCTAAAACAGTAAGAAATACAAATAAATATAATAAACAATGAATGAATAATTGTGCCTAACATGGGAGAATAAAATTATATTTTAAAGATAACATTAGGCTTTTTAAAAGTTACCTTTATATTATTAATATGATAAATGAGCATATTCAAACTTCATCCTAACATGTTTAGGAGACCAAAGTAAGTTATTGATCCCAAGTTTTTAATATGTGTTAAATTAGCACTAATGTTATTAGAGGCAACATTTTCCTGAAAAAAGAAAACAACCAATATCCACCATCATTAGGAGAACAGATAAATTATGATTTGTTCACACAGTGCAATACTCGTCTAGATCACTGAAAATGAATAATCCATAGCTACAAGCTGTAACATGACTGAGAACCATAACCATGTGATAATTTACAAAAGCACAACAGAACAAGAGTATTATTTCATTTATGCAAAATAACTTCAAAAATGTACCTCTAAAGAATGTATTGTTTATAAATTAAAATACCATAAAACTATAAAGAAAAACAGAGATTATATATAAATTCACATAGAGGCTACTGCTGAAGAAAGAAGGTAGTAAAAGAATGTGTTTAGAAAAGTGTACATGAGGGAATTTATAGAAAATGGCAATTTCTCTAAAATTAACTGATAGGTCAGAAGTGTGTATTTTCTGTATTACGCTCATTTTGCACACATAATATACAAATACTATTTGATAAACAGGAAAAATTGTACATTGCATTTTATTTCTATGTTCTGCATAACAAGTTTTATAAGAGATATCAATTTCTTGTTTTCAACATAAGCAGTTAAAATATACATTTACTTTAAACAGAAATACATTTACTACTGCGCCTAGGTTTACGAAATTTCTAAATCTGCTTTTAAAAATCAGATATGTGATGAAAATATAAGGGCAATGCTTGGGATCAAATTAATTCAGAAACTCATGAAAATAAAATACATTAAGCTTTTAAGTGGCCTACACAGGCTGTATAATGATTTTTACATAAGAAAGATATAAACAGCAAGTAGTATAATTGAACAAATACATTCAAATCTCAATTTTACTAAGAAACTGATTGCATCTTAATGATAATACCTCTTAAGAAATTCTGAAATTTATAAAACATTTTAACATATTTTAAATAAGATTATTCATATAGGTTACCTACATATAACTCTAATAATAATTTAAGATACATTTATATATATATAAACTTGAAAGTGCTAAATATTTAGGTAGCCTATATGTTGATTATAGAAAGAGCTGTAGTTAAAACATCAAGGTCTAGGGATTTTCTCTTTTATAAGACAAAAGTTTTCCAACAATGAAATACAATCGTTCTTCTAATATGAAAAATGAAGAAAGAATAATGAAATTTGGTAAGTTTTATGTTTTTATAAAGTGAGTCTTGTTTTTCATATATAAGATTAAATAATAAAAATCATCTTTATATAGCTTTATCTAGGAAAATGATCCCCAGACTGTACTTTTCCAGAATTTGTACTCAGAAAGTTTTGTTTTCTTGAGAACATTAGAGGCTTATAATTAGGTAAGAGAAGTCTATTGTCAATCATCATTAATGCAAAAGCATAAACCAGTAGCTTCACAACCTTTTTCTTTCTTTTTTTTTTGATAAAATGGTTCCCACTTTGCAGCCCAGGCTGGCCTCGAACCCGCGGCGACCCCTCCCGCCTCAGCCTTCCAGGCATGCACCACAGTGCCAGGCTAGAACCGCTTCTCTTGAAAGAGAGAGAAACCCAAGGATAAAGTGAAACTTAATTGTATATTTCACTCACATATTAAAATCTTAAAGGTGAGAAAAAATTTAAAGACAAACTCCTTAAATTCTGCTCTAAAAGACTTATGCTAAGTTTTTCCAAACTATTTTATTTCTCCGAAATTTCGAAGAGATGTAAATTGAAAACACCGACGCTTACGCCAAACATCTCTTACTTACCAAATCCAGAGACTATCGTCTAATAAAATACCTTCGGATACTTTAATGTTACGTATGAAACGCCAACCATTATCAATTATTTCGATTAACTTCTCACTCATTAATTTAGAAGGATTTCGTAGTAATTTTTCATATTTTACATCGTCTGTGGCTAAAAATACATATAAAGTATGAATATATACTTCTTAAACACCATTAAATCTTAAAACTAAATGTCCTTTTCTTCATTTCAACCTAAAACGATCACAATCCTCTGTAAAACATCGTGTTCCTCAAAACTTAATATCAACGACTCCGCTACGCCTCTAAACCTTATTTTATACTCTTATAACTTTCAAAATACTTTAAAAACCCTCTACCTTTTTCTTTCGTCCGATAAAACTTAACCTCTGAGGAGGAGCGAGGGGCCAGAGTACGAAATCTGAGGGACGAGGTGGGGAAGGAGGTTTAGGAGTTGAGGGAGGTTTAGGAGCGTTCGGAGTATGACAAAGGAAAGAACTAGAAGGTTGCGGGGAAACGTTAGGCTCTACGTTGGATTACGGGCACGTGAACGACCTATGGGGAAGGGGCGTAACCTCTTGCCCCCAAAGCCGCACCGCCCCCTAGCGGCTGGAGTGCGTCCTAGCTATAGTGCCTGGCGGCGGCCATTTTAAAACTGCATCAGCTCCGCCCCTCCCCCCTCCCTTGGCTGCACAGGGCTCGTATTCCAGCCGGCTGGCGGCAGAAACAGGAAGTGGGAACGTACTCTCTGGGCGGGCCAAGAGGACTGTTTTAGTTCTCCGGCGCCCTCCCATTCAGCCCGTGAGCTCCCATCGCTGACTAGGTGTTGCCAACGGAAAAAAATCTTGGAACCATATCGAATATGGAGAGTATCCTTTCCTATCTGACAAAAGTGCTGCTCAGGCCTAGGGACCGGGGAAGGGTGGGGGTTAGGCCTCTGGGTGGCGCTTGGTGCTGATTTTTTTTTTTTTTTTTTTGGATCCAGTTGTGCAACAGTGAGGGCGCTTGCATGATTTGGTAGGCTCCCGCAGGTTTTTTTTTTTTTTTTTTTTTTTTTTTTTTTTTTTTTTTTTTTTTTTAGTTTTCTTTTGTTTTTATGGAGCCACAGGCACGTGAGTCAGGGAAAGTGGATCTGCTTTGGGAAGAGACAAAGGCGTCGCCAAACTGATTTTAGATTATTGAGCACAAACCTTGCTTCCTTGAGGACTTCTGTCACGGGTTCTTTCAGTGAATTGCCTTCTTTTGAAATTGATGTGGAATGGTGCGCGCGAACAGAGGAAAGATGGTAGAAGTTCGGCAAAGATTTAGGGTGGAAGTGCAGGCTTTTGAATGCAATACTAGGATGGATAACTTTTGGCACTTCTTTAATTTTCTAGGTTGATGTGACTGGTAATAAGGTAAAATGCTTATGAAGCATGCAAACAAAGATGATTGCTTCATAGCTTATTGATTTAACACATGAAGTAACAGTTCTTTAAAGCAATGAAAATTGTCAGTTATACTGTTGCCCTCTATTAAGAAATAAGAAGCTGTGTGAAGCCCTGGAAAAGGATGGAATTGCTTTTCCACAGTTGGATTTGCCATTAGAGGATCTTCATGTTGCTGAAATTCATTTTCCAGAGGTTGGCATTAGAGAAAATAGAGTATCTTAACCTTTCAATTAAACAGGGTAGATTGATAAAATGTGAGCAATAATAGTTTGATAGCTCATATTAAAGCTATTTTGGCTTCATTAGTTTGTAAGCCTAAAATGTAGAAAGGTTTTGGGTGAAAGGATTAAATTATGTAAGTCAAGCTGTGAGAATTGCTAATATTACAGCTTGTGCTGGACAGGCCAAGGTAAACCAAGAATAAAGTATGAACATTTAAGGAGGGGTAGAGCTAGGTCATTTCTTGGACAGAATAGATGACTAAATAGACCTACTTATTGCTGCACTTTAAAGCATAGTAAAAGAAGTGTGGTTGTACTACATAAAGAGTACTGGACTATGAGAAGATCAACTTTTAATTCCAGTTCTTCTTAAGAAATCTCTTGATTCAGGAAAGTCATATAGCCTGTCATGCAAAGTTGATTCATCTGTAAAACATTAAAACTGACCTGCCAACTTTATTAAGCTATTTTAAAGATAATAGGAATAGAAATACCTACTATATTGTAAAGATTTGAACATGGTATTAAGCATGAAGAAATACCTTTTGCATTGTCATTTCTTCCAGGTATTTGGAAAGATTTCAGGTGATAATTTTGAAAGTGTTTTTGTACTCTGGTAGTGAAGGGTATTTTGTTGTATGTAAGTCTCCTGTATTTGATTTCCAGTAGCAGTATAACTGGTTACTAATTTTTTTCATTGAAAAGTATGCTTATAATCAAAGTTAATGGTACTGTTATAAAGTTTAATACCTAACAAAAATGAAGACCCTCCAGACTGCCAGAGGAAGTGAAAAGGTTTAACTTGATTCATACCTTCTGGCTGTGATTACTTTAGGTTCTTTTGTGTGGAATGCAGAACTTATCCTTGCAGTATGAAAAAAAATGACCGAGTCAAACTTCTGACTTGAACTAAATAACTTGAACTAAAATTTGAGCAACATTTTTCTCCTTTTTGAGATGCAAAATTGTCTTGTAGGATAGAAGGCCAAATGTGATGACATAATTTATTTATCATGGTATTGACTTCTGCTTTTGAACAGTTGAACGATTTGCCATTGCGGGTCATAGTAAAACTCACTTTTGAGAACTTGATTGAATTGCCAAATATATTTTTTTGTGAAATATTCGTGTTGATGTTTTGCAAATATATAACTGCGTATTTACAGGGCATGTTTGGAGGCTAGAGTTAGGCCACTAAAGGAGTGAAAAAATAGGGCAATAATTAAGAGTTGCTCTCTTGGTCCATGCTGCCGCTTTTTTTTCTTCAGTATTGCTAGTTAACTCAATTCGTTTGTTGTTGAAGTAGTTCAAATATAATTGCTTTGTATGAAGCCTTCTTTCTGTTTTTTGAATCTTGTAACCTACCATCCCTGGTGAATCTAGGAATCCAAGAGTTTCTTTACCCACCAGTTTGTTTTCTATATTCCTTCATATGTCTGTTTTCTCTTCCATTTTAATCTCTCCACCCTTGTTGCAGTCATGTTTGCATATCTGTAATTAGAATATAAATTCCTGGAAGCAGTTTTCCAAGAATTTATTTTCCAGTCCTTTTCTTAGACAGCATTAGCGTGATAGCACAAAATGAGCAAGTGGTATTCTATTAATAGTTAATAATTATCATATATTTGAGTCTCCACTATGGGCTAAACAATATATCCATGTTATAGGTACACAAGAGTTATAATTCTGTTCTCAACTTTGAGCAGCTTTGGATTTAATGGAGTCAGGGCATACACAGGTGGAGGTAAACAGCAGTACAAAGTAGCACATACTAATTCAGATGAGTACTAAAACAGTGGATTCTTAATATTTTATTTGTATTTATTAAACTTATTGAAATTGTTTGCAAAATTTTGTATGTTACTGTATGCATTTTCCTGGGTAGACTATAATAATCATCTATCTCCTAGGTTTTTAATCTGAAAAAAGTGTAAGAACCAGTTAAGTAAATAGTAAGAACTCAGGATGTTTTGAGAATAGACAAAGGGTTGTTCAGGACTGGTGTTACAGTTTCTTTTGTATCACCCAGACAACTGAGCATGTGTTATAGGCAAAGACTGGCTTAAAAAGGTCTGTTAGCCACTACAAATCTTATGAATCATTGTAAATCCTAAAACAAAGATAATTATGTTTTAGTCTTTGAGGCTTTGCTAGTAATGACACACATATTGTGATATATTTATATGAATATTAATAATAGTCAATTTGCATTTTTTCAGATTTACTTTTTGAATTTGTTCCCTGATATTAGCCCAGTAATTTGTGTCCTGGCTATTCAGTAGACTGCTGCATTTAACAATACATATTAAATGTAGAAGTTATTTCTGGTTCATCATTTGAAACCTAATTCTGAGTAATTTTCTGTAAAAATTAAATGGGGAAAATAAGAGTTCAGGTGTATTTCAATTCCTCATTGTTCTTTTTTTTTATTTTAAAAACAAAAGGACAAAAATGGTACAGAATTTCAAAACAAACAGTAGGAAATTAATATTAATTAATATGTTGCATATTATCTTTCAAGTAGTTGTTCAGATTATAAGATTTAGGCATAAAATAGTCAAACAATGAAAACACAAATTGTTCTTTTTGATGTCCTGACACAGATTAGTAGTATAGTTATCTATCTTGTATATATACACATACACAAACTTGTGTGTATACATGCAGTTTTTCCCTTTCTTTTCTCCTTTCCTCTATCCCAGTTGTTTTTTCCTTTTGAGCACTTTCTTTCCCTTTCATTTTCGCAATATCTATTACACATTTTTTATCTTATTTATTCTTTCAGGTTTTTTTTTCACACTAGAGCCAAAATACGATATTTACACATGCAAGCCTGATTAATTTTATTTATGAGTACAGTCTCAAATTGAATCCATTTACCTATAAAAGCCTCAAGTTTATCCTTCTTTATAGCTGAGTAATATTCCACTGTATAAATATACTATATCTTTTTTATCCATTCTGTGGTTGATGGTCATTTGGATTTTCCATGATTTAGCTATTAAAAATTTGTCACTATAAATATGGGTGCACCTATATTGCTGTAGCGTGATATTTTCACTTCTGGGAAAATACCCAGAAGGGGAATAGCTGGATTGAATGGGACCTCCAATCCTACTTTTTTGAGGAATCTCCATACGGATTTCCATGATGGTTGTAACTGTCTACACTCCCATCAACGGTGGAGAAAGATTCCTTTTCCCCAATAGCTCCTCCAGCATTTGTTATTGTTTGATTTCTTGGTGACAGCCATTCTTTCTGGAGTGAGATGGAATCTCAATGTTGTTTTAATTCTCATCTCTTGAATGACCAGTGATATTGAACATTATTTTATATATTTATTTGCTGTTTGTATTGTTTACTGTTTGTATTCTGAGAAATACATGTTCATCTCAGATGGCCATTTTTTGGATTGAGTCTTTGAATTTGAGGAGCCCAATGTTTTTTAATTCTTTATATGTTCTAGATAGAAGTTCTTTGTCTAAGGGACAGTTGGCTAAATTTTTTTCTTATTCTAGTGGATTTTCTTTTCACTCTGTTGATTTCTTTTGATGTGCAAAAACTTTTTAATGAGATGAGATTCCAGTTGTTGATTCTTTGAAGTATTTCCTGTCTGATTTGTGTTTTGTTCATGAACTCTTTGCTTTCCCTTATGTTTTTAAGGATTCTATCTACTTTGTCTTCTAGTAGGTTTAGTGTTTCTGTTTTAATATTTAGATTTTTGATACATTTTGACTTTAGTGCATGGTGATAGACTTCAGTCTAGTTTTAGTCTTTAGCATATAGAAAGCCAGTTTTCCAGCATCATTTTTAAACAGGTTATCTTTTCTTCAGTGAACGTTTGGCCTATTTGTCAAAGATAAGGTGACTGAGTGTCTTTGTAGTTTTATCTCCATCTTGTAATCTGTTCCACTGATCCTCAGGTCTGTTTTTTTTGCCAGTACCATGCTGATTTTATCACAGTAGTATATTTGTAGTATAATTTTAAGTCAGGTATTGTGATGCCTCCTGCCTTGCCTTTTTTGCCCAGTATTGTTTTTCCTATTCTAGGTCTCTTCCATTTCCAAATGAATTTTAGGACTGTTTTCTCTAGATCTTTGAGGTATGCTAATGGCATCTTGATCAGGATTGCATTAAATCTGTATAACAGTTTTGGGAGTATGGCCATTTTTCTTGTCTTACACAATTATACCTCAGATTGTATGTGGACTTCAATTT